TAAGTTTAGGTTCGTTGTTGGGTTCGGTAAGAACCGTACCGTTACGGTTAGGTCGATTGTATGTACTCTAAACTACTTCTAATACTACTTCTCTCTCTCTCTCTCTCTCTCTCTCTCTCTCTCTCCTCTCTCATATATTGTTGAAGATGAGTCAAATATGATATGAAAACTTTTAGATTAGAAGAAAACCCCTTGACGTGCATTACCTTTGTCTACGTAGAAACATCTCCCATCCTCCGCCGCCCCCCGTCCCCCCCCCCCCTCCCCCCCCCCGGCTTCTGAAAAAAAAAAGACAAAAAAAACACCCCTCCCCCCAAAAAAAAAAGTTAAACAACCCTGACAGGTGTTTTTGACTGGCAGACCACCATTTATTGACTACTTCATTTTAGTAGTTTTATTTCCTTTGCTCTTATGCACCATGCTGAAATCCTCTGTTATTATTAGTTGTTAAAAACTCTGCAGGCCTCGATTTCAAAGTTGAAAATTTTCGGTTTCATAAATAAAAATGTTTTCCTATTTTCAAGAAATATCATGAGCTTGGGAGGTTTAACTATCTGTGCTTGTCATTCTTGGGGGTAGCTATGGTTGTGATGAACTTGGATTCATTAGTTAATCAATAGATGTTACTTTCACTAAAATTGTTCTGTAAACACGCACGTGGCATAAAGTCACAGTGATTATTTGGTTATTTACAAAAATATTCATGACTTGCATTTTCTATTTTATGTTAATTATCGATTTGCATGTCTTATTGTTATTTTTGAACTGACCATTTTGATGACATTAAGAAAGTAATATTGTGTGGATGATGTTAATGGAAATGGCAACATTGATAGCATAAGTTATTGTGAAGGTCTTTTTCTTTAATTAGATTGTGAAGGTGATTTTAGTTGAGCGGTAAAAAGCTTCGTACTGCCTGTTATGTGTGATTTATGTTTGAGGGAGCTTTGCATGATGGACCTGATAAAATTTATTATGCAGGTAATCTTGAATGATCCTTTCCTTGGAAAGCAAGTTCAAGAGGCCAACTTTGTGACTGTTCCTTTAAGGGATGAGTTCCTTGAGAATGCTCGTCTTTTTATCTTTGAGACCTACTGCCGCATACATCAGTGCATTGATATTAGGTAAATACTGGTAATCTTTTTATTATTATTTTTTAGTTTTGCCTCTCATGTATTCTTGTACTTCACAGTTATAATCTAGTTATACTTTTAAGAATATTCCATGCTCTTATATGGATTATTGATGGTATTGAATTAGGGATGTTTTACTTTATAGTGTTGAATTTGGTAGTTTCTGGTGACATTTAAAGAGAAATTCAACCATTTGAGTTTCTGATGCCTCCGTGGTGAAAAATTCTCTAAATTTTTGTTGCCTTGCGTTCTTCATGCTAGTGCTTCTGGTTGCCATGTCAAATACTTCAGGTGACACTTCATGGCATTCATTTTTTGTAATATCATATGATAATTCATGCAATCAGTAGCCTGAGGGCCCTGAACCATTGGATTGGATTAGTTGTTGAACAAGATGCAGAGCTTCATCGGTGTTGCCCTCAAATATCATCTCCACCTGAGAAATAGTCATATTTAGTACCACCACCTACCTTAAGACAAAGGTGTCAAACTAGGGTTTTTAACTGGTAAGATGGCTAACTATCGCCTATCGCCGTCTTTCCTCTTGCTCGATATACATATTCCCTGGCTAAAAGACAAGAAAAATAACTTTTTGGTTGCGCAAGTGGAGACATTTGTATTTTGTACACCTTCTATTGGTATTTGGAATTGATTGTAGCTTGCTGCTTACATTGCTCATTGATTTCCTTTTAAGGGCTTGTTTGGGTTGGAGGAATTGTTCCACGCATTCCTAAAGTCCATCCACTTCCCCATTTTTAAAAAGACCAGAGCAGGTTGGCCGATCCAAAAGATCGGACTGCTGACTGGTGGCTTGTCCAATCAAGTTCCCCAGTGTTATCATGATTCATGACCATAGCGGAGTCATTGGTCCAACAGATTAGACTACTGACTGTTGGTTTGTCTATTCTCGTCCAAAGCAAAAAGGGCCTCAGTAGAAAAGCAGCCAAAACTAATATTTGCTCATTTTTTGTTGGTTAGTAGGCTATCTTTGATTGATTAGACTAGCTAAGCAAGGTTGAGCCTAATATATTTGATACTTTTAAGCTATTCCTACTATTTTTTCTTTATTTTTTTAAAATCTTATTTTAATTAGTTCGATTAGCGGTTAGACCAGTTTTAACTAAACCAGACCCCCAATCAGTCTAGTGGCCAGTCCGATTATGATCACATTGATTTTCCCTTTCTTTTGGTTTTCTTCGGAGTCCTTCATTGTATGAATATCGGTTTTTCTCAGTTGAGGAAAGATACACAAACTTTCACAAGTCCAAAATCCTTCTTGGAACCCTTTTGTTTTTGGGGTTTCTTAGATTTTGAAAGAGATGAAGGAATCTAACTATTGGGGGCCTTGCGTGCCCTTCCCTTCACCCCCTCACTCTCTTGTCCCACTTACTCTCTCTCCCTCTCCCTTCAGTTTCTTCAAACTCTCTCTTGACCTCTTCTCTCTTTCTAGACCCCCACCTCTTGAATGTGATGTTCCCATCTACAAGACTTTACAAGACTGAGTGGATCTACAGGCTTTGAGAGTCCTCAACCTCTCAAATTCTAGTAATGGTTAACTAGGCCAAGTGATACTCTTCAATCCTAAATTCTGGCCATACTTCATATCCATTTCCATGTCACAAGTTCCTTCACTACTTTACATGCTCTGAAAACTTAACGTGAAGGTCAAAGGCAACAGGTTTGGCACAGTGGTTTAAAAAACGGATCGGTGCCCTGGATCGGGCACCCCAAAAACTCATCTGGATCGGTGAATCGGCGATCCGGATCGGGAATCTGCTGAATCGGTGGTATTTAGTCTTAAAAAAAATCCAAAAAAATTATTAAAATTCATTATAAAAGTTGTTTTTTAGGAATCCAATAAAAAATGGGGATACTTCATTAAGAACTTTCATTTTTTTGCATCAATATGCGAATATAGAGATGTTTTTTCCCTGCATGAACTAATGTTAACCATTAAATTTACATCACACAAAAGGATAAGCATAGAATTATCATGGATGAAGTATATCATCACACATGGATTACAATAAAAAATAGATTAAATCGATGAAAAAATGGCCACCAAAATCTCGAATTGGCAAAAAACCCTAATCCACTAAAAAAACCCAAATTATTACAACCTAACTAACTATAATCCAAAATTATTACAACTTAATTAATTATAATATTATATATTTAAATTGAAATTGTTGGTTTGCGTTTTATAATTATTTTACTATACAAATAATAACAAAAATATCTTATAATATCATCTAATTTAAAATATATTATTGACAATTGTAAGAAAAAATAGTACATTGCATAATTTATAATGCAATTTTTTTTGCAAAAATCTAGTTTTTTAGGTTTCTAGAATAAATTTTTGGAAAAGATTGTTAGTAGAGAGAGAGAGATAGATATTTCAAATAGCCTTAGTGTATGAACCCTATCTTTAAATTAGTATTCCTAAATTTATGTTAAAGACCACCATGTTATAAAAATAAAAAATTATAATTAGACCATTTATTCTTAAGTAGAACAAAATAATCTAACAATAGGCATTCATATATGAGAGAGAAAAAAAGAGCTAACATGCTTCAGGCCTATATATAGTATTACCTTTATATATCTAATTTAAGCTTACGATAATCGCAGCTCAAATGCGTGTTTGAAAAACAGATACTTGTTAACTTTTATTTATTTTTTGACAAGTAATACTTGTTGTATTACCTTTTCTTTTTTTTTTGACAAGAAAAGTAGGAATATGGTGTTGCCTAGGTACCTTGTATCTTATTTTTTTGACAAAAAGAATTTGTTTTTGACAAGAAAAATAAGAAGATGGTACCTTTTGTTTTATTTTATTTTTTGATAAAAAAAATTTATTTTTGACAAGAACAATAAGAAGATGGTACGTTTTAAATTTTTTTTTTAAAAAAGAATGCTGCTCGAGAGAATTCGAACTAGAGACCTCTACCATCAAAGACGGACATGATAACCACTACGTCACAACGCCACTTAACATGTTAGCTTTCATAATAAAAGCATATATTACCTTTTCAAACTGGCGGTGGGAATTGTCCCACATCGAAAATTCAAGAACCATTAACGGGTATAAAAGACTTGAGGACGCTCACATCAATAACAAAAGCATTAGGCATGGGGCCTCTTGATGGTCGTGGTGACTAGCAACAATAGAATAACTTCCGTTTCGAAAACAATATCTCAATTACCCTCGAGCGGTTCGGCGGTTTACTATTGAGATTCGGGCGGACTCGCCGGCTTTCCGGTAGAACCGAGCGATTTACTGTAGAGACTCGGACAGACTCGCCGGTTCTTCTCTAGAATCAGACGATACAATGAATTTTACTGGAATCGACACGGGGTGACCGATTCCTGTGACGACTCGCCCGAGTCCGTGCTGACTCGATGATTTTTAAATCACTTGTTTGGCAGCCATGACACTTTGAAACATGAACCTAACTTTGAAATCTACAGTTATTGTGATCTCCCAACTTAGTTGGTAATTTTATGTAGGACAAGATGCCCTTTAGTTTTGAAATTTTCTTATTAAATTTTAGGGATATATTTTTGGATTTTTTTTAGTATTTTCTTTTCTTTTAAGTTTTTTTTATTTTTTTTATTTTTTAGGATTTTATTTGTTTAGAACAGTAGATAGAGTGCTTATGGAATTATTTGTTTCATCAAGGGTAAAAATATCATTATGAATTAATTGGAATTAAGGCTTCTATTTCAATTAGAATTAGGATTTATTGGGTTCTAAGTCTTTTATTATAAATATAGGGGTTTTACTAGGATTCAGAGTTGAATTTTGGGATGTTATTTCTAGTTTAACAAGTGTAGAGCTATTGAAACCTGGCTTTTTTGGCTTCCTCTTTGATTGTCCAATCAATAGATTAGTTGGTTTTCTTCCATGGGAAATTCTTTCTACATTAGTTAGTATAACAACAAAGCTAATCCCTTTCAAAAACTGCCGACAGTTTAAAAAATTGCTAACCCACTATTAGCAGTTAACGTTCAAAAAAATAAAAAACAAACTCCTTCCCAAAGCACCCAAGGATATGCTGCTAGTTTGCAGGATGGCTGCTAGAGGAGGCTGAGTTCGTGATCATGCTAGTGCGAAAGTTACATTGGAGGAATTCAATGATCTCAAGAGGAGAATTAATAAGTTGGTGTATGAGATATGTCAACAGCCTTCAAATTGAAAGTGGTTTGAGGAGTTGGTGAAACAAGGTGTATGCAGAAGCCACACTGAACGATATTTGTTCGTTCATGACATTGGCAGATCTAAATCCAATCACAATAGTGGGTTAGGTTCAGTGGATAATTTAACAAACAACTAGGGGAAATGTAATCTTGTTGCTTCTAAAAAAGTTTGGGTTTGTGTTCATGAGGAGACTGACCGGGGAGAGCCTTTATTTTCATCGAGTTGTTTCCAAAATCAGCAGGTTGTAGGTTGGTTTTTGCCACCAATCTTTGACACATGCGCAGATAAAGAACAAGATCTTGTAGGAGTTTCGATCTATGATGATGAACAAGATTTCGTGGTTCAATGAATTTTTGAAGAAGATAAAGATTTGACTCCCAGGACATTCAATAGGTGAAGTTGTTGGTTTGACCAACAAATCTAGTACTCATCTCGAAGATGCACCCTTGGTTTGTTCTAGGATTGAGCTAAGGCAATTTTGGCCGGTTTATGTGGCTAAATTGAGGGAAATCCAACAAGTTTGTGATTGAACAAACTCTATCGACTTAGATTGCCCCATTTGTCAAGGTTTTCTCAAAAAGGTTTATGTGCATGTTTGCTGATTTAAAAGCCCTAGTCTCAATGTGCTATCATTGTGTTTTGATTGGGCCAATAACCCATAGGTCCAAGGACCCTTTTCAAAAAAAAAAACAAAAGCTACGGGTCCAAGGATTTAAAGCATAGTGTTCGGGTTGAAGGAGGTTGTGGGACTAGCGCACCATGCATCTTTGCACACTTAAGAACATGAGGACTAGTTTTTAGCGACCAAGGGGACTAGCGCAAGATTCATCTTATCCACACTATGAAGCTCTGGGAGAGAGTGATTGAGCAACGATTAAGGCATGAAACGAGTGTAGTAGAAAACCAATTCGGTTTAGGTTGGGGAGGTCAACAATGGAGGCTATTTTCCTACTTAGGCAATGGATTGAGACGTTAGATCGAAGGAAAAAGACCTCTGCGTAGTCTTTAATGATCTAGAGAAAGCTTATGATAGAATACCTCGAGATTTGATTTAGCGGGTGTTAGAAAAGAAAGGAGTCTCCATTTGAAAAGAGATGTACGAGAGAGCGTTGATTAGTGTGCGAATGCGAACAACTAGTGGAGAGACGAGTGAGTTTTCAGTAACAATAGGTCTACATTAAGGATCAACATTGAGTTCGTAACTCTATGGGCAACTTAACTAGGCACCTACAACATGAGGTACTGTAGTGTATATTGTTCGCAGACGACATAGTTTTGATCAATGAGACTCGAAGCGGCATCAGTACAAAGTCGTACAAAAACAAAGTATATGGAATGTAAGTTTAGTAATAATAGGAGTAGAGATGATGAAGTAGTTAAGACTAATACCCAAGAAGTGCCAATAAGAGTGCATTTTCAATATCTTTGGTCGATAATCCAGGAATATGGGAGAGATTAAAGAAGATGTCACACATAGAATTAGAGCTTGATGAGCAAAGCGGAGATGTGCAACCGGAGTTTTATGTGATCGTTATATACCAATAATGTTGAACAGCAAATTCGATAGGACAGTTGTGAGACCAACTTTACTTTATGAGGCGGAGTGTTGGGCAGTCAAAAAACAATATACTCAGAATGAGTGTAGCTGAGATGATGATGTTGAGATGGGTGATTGGCAAAATAAGAAGGAATAGAATTTGGAATGAATACGTTTGGGAGAATTTAGGTGTGGTTCCAATAGGTGATAAGATGAGAGAAAATAGACTTAGGTGGGCTGGCTATGTGCAGTGCAGATCCAATACAACACTTGTTAGGAGGTGCGAGTTAGTTCAAGCGGAAGACTTAAAAAGAGCAAGGGGTAGGCCTAAAAAGACATGGTTGGAAGTAGTGAAAAAAAATGTGGGGACTTATGGCCTCGCTGAGGGTATAACATTTGATAAAGCATAATGACAAACCAAGATTCATGTACCCGACCCCAAATAATTGGGGAAAAGGCTTTGATGACGATGACGGTGACGGTGACGGTGACGGTGACGGTGACGGTGACGGTGACGGTGACGGTGACGATTACTAATTTTAGGGATATTATTTGAATGTTTTTAGGATTACTTTTTGGGTTTTAAGCGTTTTTTAGAGTTATTTAAAAATATATGGAGTGCTTATGAAATTATTTGTTTTATTGGGGGTAAAAATGTCATTACAAATTTTATTTTTAGCCTCTATTCTAATTAGAATTAGGATTTCGTGGGCTTTAATTATTTTATTATAAATAGGGGTTCTATTAGGATTTTTCTTTCAGAAGATGAATTTTGAAATCTTATTTCTAGTCTAAACCAATGCAAAGCCACTAAAGCCTGGCTTATAGGCTTCCTCTTTATTTTTCCAATCAATAGATTATTTGATTTTCTTCCTTGTGAAATTCTTTCTACATTATGGTTCCATTCTAAAATCTCTTCCGGCGCTCCGGTAAAGGGATCGTCAAGGGAGTTCAAGTTTTAATATTGGGATCTCGATCCCATTTTAGGGATCAAAATCCCAAAAGGTTGAAGATGATGCTATTTATTTTTTACAAAAAAGTAAATAATGTAGTTTTAAAATAGTTCTATTTCTTAAGATTACACAATTAAATTTAACTCCTCAGTGGAAATTGTAAAATTAAATAATGTAGTCTTAATTTCTTGCACGATCCCAAAATGTTTTAGTTAGGTCTCCGAAAGATTGAATCGAGATCCCTATAATATGCATTGTACTGATGATGGTCAACAGTGTAGTCTTAATTTCTTTCGCGATCCCAAAATATTGGGAGCGAGATGTCCAAAAGGTTGGGGATCAAGATCTCCAAAAGATTGGATTGAGATCCATGTAATATGCTTTGTACTGATGATGGTCCCTTCTATATTGATCTTGTAACATTTTTTGGTCCATTAATTGCTTCTAATCCCACTCGTCATTCCAAGAAATATACTGAAACCAGAAGTAGATAGCCCCCATGGTCATGGTGGTTTTGGTTGATCCAAGGCCTGATAATATCAAACCTTCAGTGTTGAAGAAACCTTACGAGAGAGCAGCAATGCCCTTGAACTGTAGGAAAGGATATGTGGTTTAGGTGTAATGGTTCTTGAAAATGTCAAAAAAAAAGCATTGGAATACCTTCAGGAGAGGAAATGAGGGTTTTGATCAACTGTATTTTTCTTCTCACTTGAATATTCTGAAGTTCATTCAGCAAAAAAAAAAAAAAAATTCTTAAGTTCAGTCAGTGCAGAGTTTTGAAAAGTGGGTCCTTTGAAGATAGACAGAGAGCTTTGTAAGCTCGATTTTGAAGGATTTAATGGTCACAGTTAGAGAGAAAATTGCTGATGAAGAGAAAACGGTTAAAGAGATAACTGCTAGTTAAGACGGAAGGGTTGGAGAAAGAGAGAACAGATTGGAAAGAGATGAGTGTAAAGACCGCATCTCAGGGATTTAGAGAGAGAGAGTGGGAGGGTCAATGAAGGGGTTGTAAGTGAGTTTCATGGATCTAGCGGGGTGAAAAACAGTTGTTTTTTATTTCTTTATTTGATGTTTCTATCAATTGAATTTGTGATTTTATTTCCACCAAACATTGGCGAATCTTTTCTTGGATTTGTGAGAAATTTATAGAAGTTCATCAAAATGTTGAGCAAGTTATTTGAAGTTTTGGATGAATGTGAAGCATTTATTTTGCAAGAAAATGTTTGACAAAATGCCCTTCAAAGATTTGGTTGAAATATCTTTGATTACCAATGGAAATCGACGAGCTTGTTGGAAATCCGTTCAATTTTTTAGTTAGTTTTCAAACAGGAGAAAAGAGAAATCTAAGTTTGAATCACTGATTTTCAAAATCCATGGATTTCAGTTTTCCTCCTACCTAAAGGGCCTTGAAGTGCATTTTTTTTATACCTATGACGGCCATCCCTTCTTCATATTTGGCACATGCTAGTTATTGGATTATATTATCCTTCTATGTCTCTCCTAATAAACAATAGTCTTATGATTTATGTTCTAATGCTTAATACACTTTAATAAAGTAGTGGGAATCAATAAATTTAATATAAAATAAATTTTGTATGGATGTTTCTTGCCTTGTTTGGTTTTTTGGATGGATAACCAGACACGCTGAACACTTGTTGGATACTAACATGCATACCGGTTTCCTGGTTTCGACACAACACTGGCGGTAGGCATAGTCAAATAAAGATGAATTTCATGCGAGGCGAGGACACATAGACATGTGAAGAGAAACATAGAAAAGACCTTTACTGCCCTTGACAAAGACCTTAGGGTCAAATGGAACAGGGAATGATTTTCACTTGCAAAAAGGTGAAAGATATGAAAGATATGATTTTAACTGATAACATCCGTATATACCATGACAGGATGCTGGCAGAAAAGCTGAATATGAGTGATGATGAGGCGGAGAGATGGATCGTAAATCTGGTTAGGAATGCAAAGCTTGATGCGAAGATTGATTCCAAATCTGGGACTGTGGTCATGAGTACCAACCATGTCAATGTGTATGTATTTAGTTTTGCACAACGTCAACCTGATCACTCTATTATTAATGCAATCCCTTATAATTTCTCTTATTGAGAGTGGATTTTGGCTTCCCATCTTTTTGATACTTATAATAAATAATTTGGTTGCAGGTATGAGCAAATAATAGAGAACACGAAACAATTATCGATGCGCACATATATGCTTGCAAAAAATGTGTTGGAGGCTGCCCCTGGGGCACCGGCCACTCGCTAAGATCTCTGTCATTGACGTTGCGTGAGTTATCTCACTGAAATTCTGATCAGCTACAAATTCTTTAATATTCTGAAGGGGTTCAGTGTTTTTGGTCTTCTAATCGGTACGAGGATTAGATTGTACCTTTTTTGGGTAGGTAGGCTCAAGAGTACATACGTCAAAAATTAATTTTGCGGCAAAAATGAAAACTGGGAGGAAGCAAATGTTGTGCAATGAGGACTCAAGAAAATTCAGGCTTTTATTATTATTCTTTGGGTTATGTGTAGAAGCCCATTTGCCAACAGTCTTTAATATCTACATTTTGGATGTATCCTTTTATACTTTTCATCTTGAATCTGATGCTGCCATCCATCCTATTACAGGATGGATTGGACTTTTAGAGATTGTTTCTCTTAGCAAACTTATTTGTGCACTTTGCGAACTAGAAGCAGCTTTGGTTCCTACAGAGCATCTTAAATAGCTACACTAATTTTTATCAGGGAATATACGTGCCTCTTTAAAGTCAACTTTTTACATATCCTACTTTCAATACTTTATGGTTACACTAATTTTTATCAGGGAATATACATGCTTCTTTAAAGTCAACTTTTTACATATCCTACTTTCAATAATTTTTGTATTGTACCTTAAATCTGAACATTATTTTTTCTTGTAGTTATACCCTTAATCAAAAGCTAATCAGTTTTGAGACAATTATTATTTTTTTCTCATAATTCTCTTTTTATCATTTTTTTTCTACCTCTCTCCACCTAGCATCTCTCTTTTTCTCTCATACTTGTTTCTCTTTCTCTATCCGCCTTCTTACTCTTTAACTTCCTTCACCCTTCTCTTTACCTTCCCTCACTCTCTTTCCCTCACTCGCTTTTTCCATTTTTTTTCTATGCACGTATGAACCGAAATTTTTTTTTGCAGTCCAGCGCAAAAAGGTGATGGATTATAAAAAAATTTCGGTCTGTCATGGAGTGTGCTGAACTGCACAAATTCTAGTAACTTCTCTCCTGCCTATAATGTAGTACACACCTTGTTGGACTGAAATTTTTTAGTGGTCCGGTATGTTTGTGTCGGATTGCAAAAAAAAATTTGGTCTGGCAAAGAGTGTGCCGGACCGTATAAAAAAAATAGAGAGAAAAAAAGTGAGAGAGGGTAGAGAGAGAAACAAGTGGAGAGAGAGAAAGAGAGGACAAGTCGGTGGAGAGGTAGAGAAAAAAAAAGATGAAAGGGGAAGAAAGAGAAAAAGGGTAATTTTGTTTCAAAGTTCATTGACTTTTTGATTTGGGGTAAATACAAAAAAAAATAGTGTTGGGTTTTAAAGTATAATACAAAAAATATTGGGAGTAGGATGTGTATAAAGTTGATTTTGGAGAGAAATTTACAATAAAAATTGGTGGCCATTTTAATTTTTTAAACTGTTCTAAATATAATTAGGAATTATATATTGTTACAAGGAACTCATATTTTATCGTAGCTATTAGATGACTCGAGAGACAGTGATATCGTGGCTACTAGATGACTCGAGAGACAGTGAAGCTTGAGAAATAAATTTTTTTTGAACTTCGATTCTAATCAATAATCTTTTATATTTAAAACGTGAGGAGGTTCGTGACTCGATGGTATTCAATAAATTCATCTTAGGCTTGGAGTTAGGTTTCGATGGACATTACTAAAGAAAAAGTTAAGTTTGGATGGAGGTTATAGGATTCATGGCTATGTGGTCATCAAGAAATTGGTTTGGAGCTTGAACATTAATTCTAATCTAATAAAGTGGGCAGCTTAAAAGCTTAGGTTTCCATGGAGAATAAAAAGGAAAAAGTTAAGTTTGGATGGAGCTTATAGGATTATGGCCACGCGGCCATCAAGAAATTGGTTTCGAACTTGAACACAAATTCTAATTTAAAAGCTTAGGTTAAGAATAGTAACTAAATTAAGTATAGCATATAAATATTTTTATGGCCCATTTGTTACATGATCCACCATCTAACAGTTTTACTAAAAATTTAAATTCTAGTTTTTTATTTTAAAATATTCATTTTAATTAGATATTCATCAATTTTAGATTAAATCTGCTACTAAGCATGTCTTTTACCTCAAAGTATCAATATACAATTTTATCTCTAGGAGCCACATTACAAAGTAAGCTTTCTAATTAGATAAGGAGGACATCATCAAATGTCAACCTATAATGCTTTTTGTTTCGTTCCAACTTATCCATATATTTTAGCTAAAAGACCATATAGTTCTATGAACATAAAATCATTTATATTATTAATAGAATGTTTCATTAATTTTAATTTCATAAGTTATTTGAAATAAACACTTTATAAAATAGAAACGTACGATCAAATCTTTTTTGAAGTTTTAGTGCATACATCAATATTTTATTTAAAGGTAAAACTTTTCATATAAAAGCTTAGATTTTTTAATAAATTATAATTAAAATATTATCGCTTTATCAGATCAACTTAAAAATGCATACTTCTTAAATATTTAGTTAATAAAATTAAAAAATGTAATAAACTAACTTATTTATAATATATAAAATCCTAGGAAATTAATGCTAATGTTATCTTTTTATTTTAACGGTATTTAAATAATGTGCTTCACATTTTTTAATTTTATGTATAGATCACATTCTATCTTGTCCGTTTTTTTTTCTTCTTAGAAATGCCATTGGTTCCAATTTGCAAGTCCCATGACTACTTATTTCACGCAAATTCCAATATTCCAATGCTATTAATTTCATTTTAGTAAAACTTATTTTTTTTTTTTAATTTTGGCGTTTGATAAATTTAAAAACTATATTTTAATAAAGAAAAAAGTCTATATAAAATTGTAACTTTAAAATATAGAATTAAAGATGCACCTAAAAAATCCATTGGAAAAGGTTATTTTGATGTCGAAAAGACCTCTAATTGATTAGGTCGACTTCTAGATGCATGGATATAAAAAAGAAAAAAAAATATTTAGACTCCCAGAATAGTGCATCTTGCAATACACTATCTAGACCACCCATTTTCAAGATTTTCATATGTTTATAGATCTACTTGATTTTAACCATTTTTGGAGTTTAAAATTTTATAATTAGATATAAAAATAGATTTGAACTAATACTATGATTTTTTTCCTCCAAAATTACATTTTATGATAAAATTTGGAGGTGCCTTTAATTAGATTGTTTAAGGTTGCAACTTTATAGAAACCACACCTTTTAAGCCGAGGCTCTAAACAATCAAATTCGAGCGTATCTCAAAAATTTCACTAGAAGATATTGTTTTGATGCCCAAATATCGTCAAATTCATCATCTCGATATCAAGATGCATGGACATGATAAAAAAATTGATTTCAAGTTTTGGAAATAGTGTATTTTGTAACACACTTTTGGACCGACAAATTTCAAGATTTTCAAGTTTACATAGATCTCTCGATCTACATTATTTTTGAAGCTTTAAATTTTATAAATAAACATGAAAATATATTTTAAGGCTATCAAAAGATTTCCGATATTGAAACCATATTTCTCGATACTATTTGAAGGTAGGCTCTAATTTTATTGTTTAGAGCCTAGACTCTATCCCTTTCATGAAAGCTATGGTTTGTAAGAGATTGGAACCTTATTTATAGAAATAAGGTTTACTGGACTCTACATAGCCATTTACAATGTGGTAAAGTATTTATGATAGTATCTATCGCATGCACTATTTGTGTTCCCTTGGGAGCTATTTCAATTTGAATATATATATATATATATATAGAAAAAAGCTGGAATTAGCCCACTAGCTCGTATGAATATATGAGCCCAACGGCCCAGATTGAATTTAAGCCGATCTGACGATCACAAATGCCTGGTAGTGTTTGAATTTTAATTTTTTTTTCTACGAATTCAAATAACTTGAAATTTTAGGAGTGTGTTCATAAAAAATAGTTGAATCCTCGAAAAATATTAAAAAAATGTTTTACATGAAATAAATTGATCAAAATACCCCCGAAAAGTTTTGGGGGTATTTTGGTCTTTTTATTTTTCTCGAATAATTTTTTTTATATTTTTATTAGGTATGCCTTGATGAGAAGAACACACGCCTAAAATTTCAAATGATTTGAATTTGTAGAAAAAAAAATTAAAATTCAAACATGAAATGAGGTCGTGACCGTCAGATCGGTCTAGATTCAATCTGAACTATTGGGCTCATATGTTCATATGAACTAGTGGGTTAATCCCAGCTTTATATATATATATATATATATGGAAAACTCTTCCCAACGCCTGTAGGTGAAAATGAATAGTGATTGCATCTACCATCATCACCATCTAAACTTCATCGCATGGTCACAGTTGTTCGGTAGTGTTTCATTTTTCATTTTTTTTTTACGTATTTGTATGTGTGTAAAATATAAATTAAATAATCATATACTTTGTGTATTGATAATATACTTTGCGTATTGATAACCCCATATTTACATAGCCATTGCAACCTTATTTATATACTTTGCGTAGAAAATAGAAAATTTAATTTTTTGAATTGGAAGTATTTATTTGTGATTAAAAATGGATTTCTAAATATTAGATTTAAGAAATACTTATCAATTTTGGTAAAATAATTGCACAGTAGACTCCCAACAAATCATGTTATACAAATTTTCAAAACCAAAAGACTATTCTGTGCTGCGGCAAAAGCAACAATAATTACTTTAGAACTGTTACAAAATAACCAACATCTTAAAAAAAAGACAATTGAGTCTTTGAGTATCTAATTAAAAATAATTCATATTATAAAATAAAAAAGTACATCCAATTTAGTAAATTTACATTTATAGCGTTTCCTAATAGTTCTTTAAATAATTACAATTATTTTACAATTGTTGTGTAAAAACTCAACTTTTAGAAATTATATTAATAAATATAAATGAGTTTAAATTGATAATGATAACATCAGTAAAATTAGTATAATACAAAAATTGTATAATTTATAATGCAAAATAATTTTTTTGGATGAAAAATTAGAGGGTCTCTATTCAATATGGGATTATCAATACGCAAAGTATATTATTATTTTATTTATATTTTACACACTTACAAATACAAGTAAAGCTTAAAATTTTACCAATAATTGCTCTCTAAAAGAGAGTCTTTTGGAGTAACTTTAAGAAAATTGAAGAGATGACATACAGAAATATATAGTAGGACAAAAATAAAAAGAAACCCATACGTCGATCCATTGAGGTTTCGCCTTTGAAGAAATAGAAGTAAGAAAACAAAAAGACAAAAGAAAATTGAAAGAAAGAGAAGATAGATGTTTGTAGGCCATACATAGCACATTTCTAGGTTACATCTTTTAAAATAAATTACAAGGTTTTTAAAAAACTTTCATTGACTTAAAAATAATAATATTAATTACAACTAAGCCTACAATATACTCTAACAAGACCACAATAAAAAACTTCTATGAATGCACATGCCCGTTCAAATATATAAAAAAATATATATCTATTTTAAATAAATTCTGCATTCATGTTGACTTCTTTGAAATACATTTGAAATAAGTTAAGCAAGTAACACAATATAGTGCCAACATAAAAATGACACGTTGCACTAATACAAGATTAGTTAAAAATAAATGTACAATATAATCTAGTAATATCATCATAAAAAACTTCCGGTTTATAATTTTTAAGCAATCCAATGCACATATTCCTTTAAATTCTATAATGAAATAATATGTCCCGTTTAAAAAAATTCGACATTCAGATTAACTTCTTTAAAATGAACTTCACATAGGTTGAGTAGGCAGCACAACATAATGGCACCAAAAAATGATGCTTTGCACTGCTCGAAGTAGTGGTTTAGTTAAGAGTAATACTTCTTTCAAAGAATAACACAAATCGTGCAAGTACCATATCATATAGACCATCCATTTTCAATATTTTTGTGTTTATAAAACTATTTGATTTAAACCATTTTTTAAGTCTAAGAGTTTATAATTAGAGATGAAAATAAATTTTTAGCATATCCTATGAATTTTGTACATAAATTTTTTACGCCAGAATTACATCTTATGATAAAATTTGATGGTGCACCTTACTTTGATTGTTTAAGGTTGCCATGTTATGTAACCACATACGAACCACGTGGATTCTAGTACTCTTATAACCACCCGATTTGAAATTTGACAGGCATGAGTACTCGTGACGTCTGTAAACCTAATTGTCTCTTTGTATTTTCATATAATTATTCTTCAATACAATATATTACATTTAGAATATCTACCAAAAATATCAAGTAAGAACATATATATGGAATAGATAATTCTATTTTTATAGTATAAATACATATTTATAGTCATATGAATATAATATCCACTTATATCGATATTAATAATAAGAAATGATTAATTATAGTCATACTAATTATTATGGACAAACAATATTAATTAATATAAATTTTAAAATTTTAAAATTTCCATTATTTATTTGTAAAAATTTATATAATTGTCATGATATAATTAGAATAAAATAAATAGTATTCACTAATGATATATGTAATAACTACTATAATTTTGTGTAATTTCTATTAATGAAAGTATAATTAATATATAATAAGTTTAAATTTTTACCATAAATTTAAGTTCTTAAATTTTGATTATGAAACATTATATGAGCGTAAAAATTGTTGAATATGAGCGATAAATTCTAATATGAGAATAGGTCATAATGGATTATTGTATTTATGCATATGATAATTTAATAAAATAAAAGAAACAAATCTCTTCCTATCTCTATTTCTATGTATAAAATATCATTGCATTTGTGTATTTTTAATTTATACCATGTATCTTTTTATTACATGATTTTATTTATACATATTTAATATGTGACACTTTATGTTCGATTAATGATCAGATACTTGCTATTTTGGCAAATATTGGTTTGGGCCAAATTTATCGGGACGCTAATTGAGAGATAAGGAGATATGTTAATAGATATAGAGCCGAGGCTCTAAACAATCAAATTAGAGCCTACCTTCAAGTTTTAATACTGGAAATATTTGTGATAGCCTTAAAATGTATTTTCATCTTTATTTATAAAGTTTAAAGCATAAAAAATAGTGTAGATCATTAGATCTATAAAAACCTGAAAATATTGAAAATTGACAGTAAGAAATGCGTTACAAAATACACTATTTTTAAAACTTGAAACCCATTTTTTTTCTCATGTCCGTACATATTGATGTCGATATAATCAATTTGAAGATATTTGGGCATCAAACAACCTCTTCTAGTGAAATTTTTGAGGTAGGCTCTAATTTGATTGTTTAGAGCCTCGGCTCTATATAAACCTTGCCCATAGATAAAACATTTAATGAGATGCATATTAATTAATTGAGAGAGATTTATGGAGAGATTAAAGGATCAATATGACATAAATTAAAATTAAGAGGGCAAATTTGGAATTGCAAAAGGCACTTGTCAAAATAATAAACAAAAGACTCTCTCTCGCTTAATATGTAACTGGTAAGATCCTGCTTTGTCGGTCTTATCGAAAATGTTTTATTACTAATGTGTTAATTGATACAAATATTGTAAAAATATATTCAATTAGAAAATATGGCTATGCCTCTCTCTTTATACTATGTAATTAAATATTATATAAAAGCATAATAAATTGAGTAAATTATTTATGTGATCTTTAAAATAGCAAATAAAAATTAATCCAACAAATTAAGTACTTAGAGATAATAATTAATTATGCATAGACTGGGAATTTTGAATATTACATTAATTACACAAATAAATGGAATAATATTTAAATATCATTTTTGAGAAGAGAGGTTGCTCATTCCTTGATGGGTTTTGAAACTGGGGCATTTTTAAACTAAGCTTAATAAGACCATTTTATAAGGAGACATGGATATGATTTCTTGACCTACTTCATCATCGGATTTACATGATAAGTACGCGAATTTTAAATTATGACAAAAAGATGTTAAGGATGAAAGTTTCGTGAGAGAATAAGATATAATAAGATATGTCCCTTGAGAGCTTAGACCTTTATGGTTATGCATCATGGATTTATCCTCTTCTATTATGGCCACTTTCTCTAGTATCTATCATGAAGCAAATTTAGCAAATTTAGTGGTGGATGAGTTGGCTAAGGGTGGTGCCTTTTTACTTTCTCTTGTTATCTCCAATTATGTAATCACTTTTTCGTAGTTTAATAAAATTAGTAACATTTGTCAAAAAAAAAAAAAGAACGGAAAGATATGATGCCACTAGATCTTAAAAACAAACAATATATTCTTTATAATGTCATCCTTTCCATCGTTTTAAAACAATTCCAAGCGTAATTCTTAAAAACCTATTTGTTATTTTCCCTATTTGTAGCCATTATAACGGCTGTTTCTGTGATATATTCGAAATAGGGCCCATTATATCATAATTTTGATGCATGACAAACATTTGGTTCCCATAGAGGTTTGGAGCTAAGCTGTATGGTGGATGAAATTTGGTTCAAGAAAACGACTGACGAAAAACTAAATCATGGATGGAAAGGACTCTACAATGGAGAGGAGCACATTGACCAGGATGAGAAAGAGAGGGAGCTCTTTGGGATCGCCAAACTCATTATGTCAAGCGGAGTTAGAATGAAGTGTGGGGATGCTCTGCTTCGCACCGGTGTTTAAAAAAGAAAAGTTTATATAGAGCCGAAGTTCTAAACAATCAAATTAGAGTCCATCTCAAAAATTTCATTAGAAGAGGTTGTTTTGAAGCCCAAATATCCTCAAATTGATCATCTCCACATCAAGATGGATAGACATGAGAAAAAAATAGATTTCAAATTTTAGAAATAGTGCATCTTGAAATTTATTTTTGAGCCGCCAATTTTCAAGATTCTCAAGTTCTAACCGATATTCTCAATCTACATTATTTTCAAAGCCTTAAATTTCATTATTAAAGATGGAAATATATTTTAAGGCGATCACAAATATTTCCAATATAGAAACCACATTTCTCTACACTATTTGAAGGTGCATTTTACTTTGATTGTTTAGAGCCTCGGCTCTATACAAACCTCACCCTTTAAAAGATGGATTGGTGACCCAGACCGGATCACCTCAAAACCGATTCAAAGCAGTGAATTCACGATCCAGATTGCCATTTTATTGTATAGAGAACAAAGTAAACTAGCAAAAAAGGCACAAAAAAATAAGGAACTGACTAAAAACTGATCCATATCAATAAATCATGGTTCGAATCGTTGTTTTACTGTACATAACCGCCGGCTTAGCATTTTCCTATATATATGCAGAACCGAAATGGGTTGACCGATTCTCTAGTCGGACTGAACGATTCCATGCCAACCTGGATGCTTTGCACAATCACATTATTCATGTACTCAACCAAATATGTCGTCCACACTAACTATAAAATGCTTCAACAAAATTTAGCATGACAGGTACAAAAATGGGCCAACAACTCATCACCCAAGTTGCTTCGGATGCCAAACGAAAGGCCTGAGAACCATAAAAAAATGGAATATCCTTCCTGAAGTGAAAGCACTAGAAACGGATCACGATAGGGTCTTTACCCAAGAACGGGATCAAAATAGGGCTGGATCATACAAAGTCATTGCACATTAGCAAAAGAAAAGCTCACAAGCAAAAGTCTATATGAAGAATATTAACAGAATTTGCTCGGTTTAAAAATTGAAATAATCCACCATTACAAAAGACCGTCATAATAGAGCCAATAGTCGCTATAAGAGCTTAAAACGGCTCTCAGCTTAACACGCTTTTTCAAACCTTCGCCTCATTGAGTAAACCATATTGATGCCTGAGGCCTGTTTTGTTCTGCAATTCCTGAGGAGCCAAGCGTGGACAAAAACCTAACCACGGGTAAATGCTTGAACCCAAGATTCACAAACAATCTTTACTCATCTCAGTGACCGATCTAAGAGAAAAAAACATATACCACATCAATGGTCCAAAAGATTTTTAAACAAAGCTTGCCATTGGTTGGGCTGTAAAATCTAGGTTGTTACCACCTCAAAATCACGTTTTTTTTTCTCTTGAAATGTTTCATATGGTACATTTGCAGAATTCCATGTTAATAAGATCCCTCCTAACAAGGTTCACCAAGGCAAGCATACAAACTTGCGCTTGCAGGAGCACACCATGCATGGCCACTAAATTATTTCCCACATAAAAAAACATTGAAATTACCTAACAAAATGTGAAACCCATGCCAAAATCTCTTCAAAACAAAAGTTTCCCAGATAACCGAGCTGCAAAAAGTCTTCCAAAACAAAGAGCTAAAGCACACAACGGAGCACTATATCTTGGTGATATAGTGTGGGTTCTACTTAGACAAGACTGCAATCATAATCAAGTTTCATACTCAACCCATATTTGTTCACACAAGAGTTGGATGGGTGTCTCTGATGATACCAGAGTTCAATTACTCGGCTTGGTCTCGGGACTTTGCCCTTGCCTGAGCCAAGTACCTCAGATGAGTCCAAGTGGATTTGCCTGAGCCCTGCCTCCTCATGAGGAAAAAATATTTAAAGTTCCAAACTATTTGGAATGAACATTATAAGTGGCACCAAACCCCAACCAATGACATCTCAACCCACAATTCTTCTTACCAAATCAAGCTGCTCAATATAAAGACTCAGAAAGTCCGAGCTAGGTGAAGCCATCTTCTCATCCTTTAAAGGCTCCTCAAATATCTGAACAAATTCCATAGGGGAGTTAGAAGCCCTACAAATAGCAGCAGCAGCAGCAGCCTCTCACCCTCTGAATCCAAATGGGTAACATTAACTCCGAGCTTACACTAAAAAAAAAAAAAACATTAACTTTGAGCTTTTCTAGGGTTTGCTCCTTTTTCTAAAGCACCTGTGCCATCTTTAATGGTGCTCGACCACAACAGTTTGAAGCTCTGAGGGTTTCTGAAAAGTCTTACCTGTGCCATCTTTAATGGTGCTCGAGTCCCAGCAGTTTGAAGCTCTGAGGGTTTCTGAAAAGTCTTGAGCTTATAAGAGGAGCTATTCGCAGAATGGGGGGCATGAATTAGGGTCTGGAAGAAGTAAGAGAAGGGTTTTATTGCAGAGAGCTCCATGAAACAGATGGCATTCCCTTCCTCATACGTGAGTCCTGCCTCCTAAGCCATCTCAGTACCATCTCAATCTCCATGTCTGGATTCATTGAAACATCTTTGACAGCCCACAGTTCCTTGATGAATCTCTGCAACCAGACAATCTGTGTGTGCGCTTCCTGAGGGTTCTTTAGAACCATGAAATTGCTGCTACTAGCCTCCAAGGGAGGTAAAAAGGCCTCCAAAGCCTGTGTCTTACTGGGTATCGACTACTCGATTTCAAGGGCCCAGCATAAGAATACCAAAAAGCATAGCAGGAGCAGCTATGGGCAAGAAAAATGAATGAAGGGAACAATGCTTGGGCAAGTAGTGTAAGCAACTTGCCAGACTACTTTAGAACTCAGGTGAGTCTGCCTGAGTTCTACAATACTCGGGCAGGTTTGTATAGTACTAACTTGAGTACTGTAAGGTACACCACACCCCTGCTATTGTACACAGTACTTGCATCACCATGTTGCTGAGGCCAAGTAACTTGGTATCAGTCAAAGTCGACTCGGTCAATTTTTTAAAAACTGCATGATACGTCTGCAACTAGGCAGGCATCTCCATTCAAATTAATTCATGGCATCAAATTCTCAGATAAGAGCATCAAATAAGACCAATTTAGCAGTCATACAAGCACGAAATATAGTTGATGCTATATAATGACATCACTTGCAACAACACTGAGACTCCATTCTTTCTTTCATTCTCTTTTTGTATGGTACAACGTTGGGAAAATTTTAAGTTAAAATAATTGGAAACAAAGACATATGGGCATCAACATGAATCTAAAGAATTCAAAATCTCAGCTCACAAATTTCAAAAGCTTGTCTTACATGGAAAGAGGGAGACGATGATATCCATCTATACATGCTCAAGCTCAACTTGCACCTGTTTTCCCTTCATTTGGTTTGGGAATTCTCTTGTACTCATAGTTATTTATGTCGACACTTTTTTGCAAGGCCTGTATATCAGTGAAAAATCGCTTACCATGATTGAAGAAGCACAAAAAATTTGAAATTTGACATATTGAGATGATCAGAACAGAGCAGGAAACAATACCTTGAGTTCCTCCTCTAGAGAGATCTGCTTTCGTTTTGATCCTTCCAAGGGTCCAGTTCTTGACAAGGCCCTTGTAGTTTGAATGATCTCCCATTCCCGATCGTCCTTTACTTTCTCCACCTCTTTACTGGATTCATAAGAAACCACCACATATTAAGAACATTATTATACCTCCAAATCTGAATATGGTCTACATAAATACTGACCTGCCCTGTAAAAGATGACCAAGGCCAACTGAACCCAACACAGTCAGAGAAATAAGTGGAAGGCCATATCGTACAAATGGATATTTTCGACCCCATCTCTTAAATGATGAAGCTGACTGCTTAATTTGAGCAGTGCTTGGGACTGATATGCCAGTTTTTTTCAAAGAACTCGTAAAGTTTGTAGCAGCCATTACCATGCCTCTTGTAAAACATGCACAACAGAATCGAGATAATAACGCATATTATAGATTCCACTTATTTATAAATAACAGATAATGTCTTTGAATTCAATGAAGCAAGATACTAATGTACACCTAGGATCTTTTCATACAAGCTCTCTAGCAATAAAAGAAGGAAACTGAGTTATTGCAAGCAGCACCAAAGAGTAGCCAAAGCTGATCTATGGCATCAAGTGCAACTGTTATCCACAATGGTGCAATGCTAATGCAGTCCACCATAGCAATCAGACAGAAAATTAAATTGAAAGTAATTCGAATGAATACACAACGTCAATATAAAAGAAAATGTGCATACTATGCGCCAGAAAGCATTGACCTTAAATATAAAGGAAAGCCCTAAACACATGGATCTACTTTTCCATTAATCAAATATACCAAGAAGCTTATGATCTTCTTCCATGCTTAGGCCTACTTAAATGGAGCACATTTCATGAAAAACAGATCTTTGAAAATCTAATTGGAAATACCAACCGACTTTTCAGCAGATTCATGGAGGTACCAAGTTCTGACTGGAATCACATCCTATTCGTCAGAGGTCAAAGAAGAACCTCAACACACAAGGTTAACCAATACACCCTCAATCTCATTGGCTTGTGCAATGATTTGGAACGAAGCAAACTCTCTAAACACCCAAGTGACTCAGGTCCCTTACCACCTAGTGCAGTCCCCTTGAAGGTTATTCCCTAGTATGATAGGTGAATAAGGTATGATGGTCTTACTTTCAATAGATTTTCAACTCAGTTTGCTGTGATTATTTATGATTCAGATGTGGAGGGACTTCAAAATGGACAGGCTAGATGGGCTACTAGCCACTGAACTTTTTCCTTTGCACTTCCTATCAAAACTTCCAAACCAATGTCATGGATGATTTTATATAAATACATACATAGAGATTACATATACTACATACAAAACTATTGGTGCATGCGTAATTTCAAAACACATGCATGCACACAGTAGATGATACTGTTGCATCACAGAGGAATATGATACCTGTACCCGAAACCAACACAGGTGGGTAGGTAGAGAAGGGGTGCCTCCTCACAAAGGGGGTCGTAGTGACCAGGCCCAAGTGACTGTTTATCAAAAACACAGGTCTCCGCAAAGTTGTAAGACCATGTATGGGGGATGACGCCTGCCCAGTGCCGAAAGGTCACGGAAGTTGGTGACCTGATGATAGGGGAGCCGGCGACCGAAGCCCCGGTGTGACGACCCAAAATTTTTAAATTAGAAAATAATAATAATAATAATAATAATAATAATAATAAAAAAATAATAAATAATGATGGTAATAATGGAAAATAGCAAATAAATATGTATGTATGACAAAAATAATGAAATTTGAAAATAAAATATAATGTATGGACCATGATGTTAGTAAAATTGTGATATTTTATCTACTGTTAGTTATTTTAGATACAGTAAATTATTAGAAATAAATGTGATATTTCTGCTTTAGTAAAATAGTGAAATTTCCTTCTAATGTTTTGAATATTTAGACATTGTAAAATTCATGTGCAAATGACTTCCTCATTATTTGGAAAAACTGATATTTTTGCACTTGATTGTAGTATTGCCTATGAAATGATTATTTGTGAATTGGCAATTCCATAAATTGTGATAACTCTGAATTTAATTTTTGGATTTTCATAATATAGTCCGTTTATCATGTTACATTCAGTAATGTCCTTTAGAACTGCTACCTTTCAAAAATTATTGCCAAAATGTTTGACTGGTTATTTACAGATATTTCAATGAAAGTGATTGTTTAAATTGCTTCAAGTGAATTCCAGTTAATGATTTCAACGATACTTTGCATATATGATGTTAATGCTTTATGATATTAACAGAGTTTCAGATATAATTTAAGTATATTTGGGCCCATCCAGGACGCTGGTGGGATATTTGGACCCATCCAGGACGTTGGTGAGGTATTTGGACTTATCCAGTACGCCGGTGAGGTATGATTGCACCTGCAGGGATTATTTGGGCCTATTCAGGACGCTGGTGGGATATTTGGACTCATCCGGGAAGCCGGTGAGGTATGATCGGACCCGCAGGGATTGTTTGGACCAGAGTAAAATTGGGATTACTGGCTTTCGGCTACAGGAATGGGAAATAGATTAATGAGTTTATATAGAAAGAAGTAGTATATATATAAAATATGTTCATAAAGGTAATAGAATCAAACTTCTATTAAAACTATTTTTATGGAATAATGTCATTTTTGTGGGAATATTGTACTTATGAATATATCAAAAATATAAGAACAAGGTATGGTTTTAAATTATTATTATTATTATTTTTGTATAAGATATTATCTTTCATTTTATCTATACTCTATATAATAAATTAAAACAGATTGTTTCTTTATCATCACCATTTTATATACTATCTTTAATAAACTTATTATAATTTCGTGGAATAAGGATATTATAGTATTAATATGGGAAGGGAAGAGAGAGAGGTGAGTATAAAAATTCGTTTTTATTTGAGGAGAAGATAGAGAGAGAATGAGAAACCAATAAATGTAGCATTATAAAGTAAAGATAGATGGTGATATGAATAATTATTAAAGAGAATAACCATATTTTTAATATTATGAAAGGGATAGAGAGAGAGAGAGAGTTTGAAATTCGTTTAAGAATATGAGAGAAGAGAGAGAAAGAATTAAAGAAACTAATAAATAATGAGAATTATGAGGTAATGATTTTAATGTCATTGGAAAGAGAATGAAAATGAAAGAGAGAGAGACAAAACATAATCATATTGAGGTAATATCAATAATGTTATTATGAGAATATCAAAAGATTATCATTAAAACATGAGGAGGGAAAGAAAAATGATTGAGAAGAGAGAGGGAAGACTTACGTAGATACCAAAATTGCCCACTTTCTACCAGTTCGCACGACCTACACTTTGGATTGACTAGCCCAATTGTACATCAAGAAAATAGTGCGATTGCATGGAGTTCCGGTCAGTATTGTATCAGACAGGGACACTCGGTTTACTTTTAGATTATGGGCTATGTTGCAGTCAGCCATGGGGACAAGGCTCACCTTTAGTACTGCCTTTCACCCCCAAGCTGATGGGCAATCAGAGAGGACTATTTGGACATTAGAAGATATGCTAAGGGCCCGTATCACAGACTTCACAGGAAATTGGGATGACCATTTACCCTTGATTGAGTTTACCTATAATAATTGCTTCCAATCCAATATTCAGATGACACCATATGAAGCCCTATATGGAAGGAAATGTAGGTCACCCGTCTGTTGGGACGAGGTTGGTGAAAGACGGCTTTTGGAACAAAAAATTATACAGATAACCTCAAATAAAATAGCATTAATTCGGGAAAGGCTCAGGACAGCTCAAAGTCGACAAAAGAGTTATGCTGATAACAGACGGAGAGACCTTGAGTTTAAGATAGGTGATCGGGTCTTCCTAAAGGTATCGCCACCAAAGGCATCATGAGATTCGGCAAAAAAGGAAAACTAAACCCATGCTACATCGGACCATTTGAAATACTGAAAAGAATCGGAAGCGTGCCATATAGACTAGCTTTACCACCCGAATTAGAAAACATTCATAATGTTTTCCACGTATCCTTATTATGAAAATATTAGCCCGAAGCATTACATATCCTGAGATATGAACCTTTACTAATCAAAGAAGACTTGACCTTCATTGAACGACCAATTCTGACATTAGATAGGAGGGTGCAGGTTTTACGTAACAAGGAAATTCCTCTGTTCCGTATATTGTGGCAATACCATTCAAGGGAGGAGTCAACTTGGGAACGAGAAGATGAAATCAAGGAGAAATACCCTGAACAATTTCAGCAATCAGGTACGAAAATTTAGAGGACTTAATTTCTTTAAGGGGGGGAGAGTGTGATGACCCAAAATTTTTCAATTAGAAAATAATAATAATAATAATAATAACAACAATAATAAATAATGATGGTAATAATAGCAAATAGCAAATAAATATGTATGTATGATAAAAATAATGAAATTTGAAAATAAAATATAAAGTATGGACCATGATGTTAAAAGTATGCCATGGGACCATGCTTTTTATTCCATACGATTTTGCATAAAAAAAAAATAATTTAAGAGAAACAATAAAATAATACCCAAATGAGGTGTCCATCATTCGTTGTGAAGTGGCATAAAGGAATGATAGGTGGCATAAAAAAATGAACATGTGTCACAAGCAAAAGGGTTCTTCCTCATTATAAAAAGGCTTCCCCCTCATGAGCTTATTATCAAGCTCATCAAGTTTGATATTTCTCTCTCAATGTAAGTCCTCTCTCTCTCTACGTAAGTCTTCCCTCTCTCTTCTCAATCATTTTTCTTTCCTCCCTCATGTTTTAATGATGATCTTATGATATTCTCATAATAACATTACTATTAGTACCTCAATATGATTATGTTTTGTCTCTCTCTCTTTCATTTTTATTCTCTTTCCAATGATATTAGAATCATTACCTCATAATTCTCATTATTTATTAGTTTCTTTAATTCTCTCTCTCTTCTCCTCTTATATTCTGAAACGAATTTCAAACTCTCTCTCTCTCTCTCTCTTCCCCTTTCATAATATTAAAAATATCGTTATTCTCTTTAATAATTATTCATATCACCAATTTATCACTACTTTATAATATTCTATTTATGGGTTTCTCATTCTCTCTCTATCTTCTCCTTTCATATAAAAACAAATTTTTATACTCACCTCTCTCTCTTCCCTCCCATATTAATACTTTAATATCCTTATTCCACTAAATTATAAAATTTTTATTAAAGATAGTACATAAAATTGTGATGATGTAGAAACCATATGTTTTAATTTATTATATAGAGTATAGATAAAATGATAGATAATATCACAATCTTATACAAAACATTTAAACCATACTTTCCTTATATTTTTTATATATTCATAACTACAATATTCCCACAAAAATGACATTATTCCATAAAAATAGTATTAATAGAATTTTGATTCTATTACCTTTATGAACATATTTTATATACATACTCCTTTTTTCTATATAAACTCATTAATCAATTTTTCCATACCTATAGCCAAAAGACAATAATCCCAATTTTGCTCTGGCAATAGTAACACATCTCGTGACATATAAAGGTAAGTGATCGCATTTTCTTGAAAAATAGTCTGTTTTCAATAAAATAGTGATATTTATGTCCAGCATCTTTATTTTATAAGTTTGTGTTAGTGACATCATCTTCTTGAAAAACAGTATATCTTTAATAAAATAATGATATTTGCATTTTATAAGTTTTATGTGTAAGTGATCCCATTTTCCTGAAAGTAGTCTGTTTTAATAAACTAGTGATATTTCAGTCCATCATCTTTATTTTATAAGTTTTATGCGTAAGTGACGTCATTGTCTTGAAAAATAATCTTTTTAGTAAAAATTGTGAGATTTCGTTCTACTGTTTTTGAATATTTAGATACTGTAAAATGCATGTACAAATGAATGCCTCATTATTTGAAAAATTGATACTTCTACACTTGATTGTAGTATTGCCTATGAAATGATTATTTGCGAATTGACAATTTCATAAATTTCTATTGATACTAGACTGTTGTCATGTTAGATTTCAAGAATGTCCTTTAGAACTACTACCTTTCATAAATTATTGCCAAAATATTTGACTGGTTACTTACAGATATTTCAATGAAAGTGATTGTTTAAACTTGCGTCAAGCGAATTCCTATTAATGATTTCAATGATATTTTGCATATATGATGTTGATGCTTTCTGATATTTAAAAGAGTTTCGGAGTTAATTTAAGTATATTTGGGCCCATCCAGGACGTTGGTGGGATATTTGGACTCATCCGGTATGCCGGTGAGGTATGTTTAGACATACAGAGATTATTTGGACCTATTCAAGACGTTGGTGGGGTATTTGGGCCCATTCAGGACGCTGGTGGGATATTTGGACTCATCCGCGATTCCGGTGAGGTAGGATTGGACCCGCAAGGATTATTTGGACCTATTCGGTTATGCCGGAAGGGATTATTTGGACTCATCCGATATGCCGGTGAGGTATGATTGGACCTGCGGGGATCATTTGGACCCATCCAGGACGCTGGTGGGGTATACATGTGACCTACTTGGGACGCCAGTAGGGTATTTTGTGAAATCTTTTGAATGATGCATTTATGTTAAAATGTTAATATGCAGTTCCATCATTTGGATTATGTTGTGCATTCGTGAA